AGAGGTAAGCCAAAAGCAGGCAAACTTCATCTAATTCAGAATTTTTTCTTCAATTGTCCCTTCTAGAAAAAAGTTGAAGGGCACTCTCCTATTTCATGTTTCCTCTTTTAAGTTTCAAGTCCTTCTCCTTCTACTTCACCCCAGTGCAGTTTTGACTCATATAATTGGCCAGCATATGAGCTAGAATTAAAATCATTGTAATATCAATTATATAACAAAGCTTGTTCTACATTGGACATCATGTACATTTAGGAATTTTACAGAACACTACCTTTACACAGGTAACCCTGGTAATGATGTTTTATAAAGATGAATGAGATGTTGTTTCACTCTCAGGGATTTCACAGTTCACACACCAGTTGATATAATGGTGATTTTATAATACTATATTCATAAATGCTGAGAGTTGGAGAAGAGGTATTTAAATAGTTGTTGCAGTTAAATGCCATCGAGTTGATTCTGACCCATAGCGACCCTGTATAGGGTTTCCGAGGAACAGCTGGTGAGCTTGAACTGCCGACCTTGCAGTTCAAATGCCTTTGCTGTCTGACCCATTACCCACAGCACCACACCAGGACTCCATTTAAATAGTAGAACCTAGATTATGAGTACCTCAAATAACCAGAATCCTCAACCTACTCAATCCCTGCATCATGTTCATGTGAATTTTTAATCCAAAAATTAATTTAAACAAAATAGTATAGTATGCATAGCAGACTATTCTTCCTTAAATGGAACAACGAAACCAAATCATAGTAAGATCTTTTAACAGTTATTTTAAAAGCAAAATTATATTCAGAAACCATAAAGACAAAAGGAAAATTTTATGTTAGAAACTTTTTTTTCCAGAACCAAAGGGTTTAGCGGGGAGGGAGGAAGGTTTAGTTTAACTGATAACCAAAAAACTCAGTTAACTAGAAACCTCATCTTCTGAGTCTTCTGTTGGTAAAGTTTTTAAATATATGATCTGTGAAGTCAGACCATTACAAATTCTAACTCAGCTACTTATTAGCTGAGACACTAGACGAGTTACTTAGCTTCTCTGGGCTTGGTCCGTAAAATGCACATGATAATAATAATTAAATGTATAAAATGTTTTAACAGTACCTGACACACAATAAATGCTCAATAAATGTTAAAGATCAGCATCATTAATGTATTACCTAACTTTGTAGATACTCAGCACCGTCAAAAGCAAAGAAATGCATGCTGTATGCTTTCCTAGGTGAAGTGAGGCAGTGGGTTGTTGTTTGGTGCCATTATGTTGGATACCAACTCATAGCAACCCTATGCACAACAGAACAAAACACTGACCGGTCCTGGGCCAACCTCACAATTGTTGCCATGCTTGAGCCCATTGATGCCATGCTTGAGCCCATTGATGCTGTCACTTTGCCACTCCATCTCACTGCGGGGAGGCAGTGTGAAATATGGTCAAAGTGATGTGGCGGCATTAGCAATACCCAGAAGACTGCAGTGAGTCTTTCTCTGAACATTTTTAAAAGTGAAACAAAAACAAACCACACAAACAATAACAGCAAAAATTCTAGAAGCTACTGCTTCCATTCATCTTCATAGTTTTTATATTGTCTACGCAAAACTTAATGTGTCAGTGAAAACTGGAAGAAGTCTTTGATTCCTCGAATAATTGATGCTGATGACTCGTGGCATGTCTTCCCTGTGAGTCCTAGTCTAGTATTTGATATCAAAGGAATCAAAGACTATAAACAAGAAAAATGAGACTTTATAGTGATAGAGGGTTTACCTATCCAGAGAAATCTTGGTTTGCCCTGGTAAGAATGCATAGAATACACTATAGTCACTTCATCTTGTACTTACAATACATATAATTTGGCAAGCTCCAGATGAAAATTGCTTTTGATGATATTATTTATGTTAAATACTGCTATTCAGAAGGAAACTGTCACCACAGGATTATGCTTTAAATTAATACTGCCCATGTAATTTACAGCCTCGGAAACCCTGTACAAGGTCGCTATGAGTTGGAACTGACTCCACGGCACATAACCACCCAACCAACCAATGTTTGTCTTAAAATGAGGGGGCCCTTTGTTGGGAACATCTTTGAGTAAGCCTCTATGAGTAAGGTCCTGAATGAACAAGATGATAAAGTTCATGGAGTTGTAAATATTATAGACATACCTTCATAGCATAAAGTCAATCAGGACATAATTCTAAGAAATGAAATCAGTCCCATCTGGCTTTTGTTTAAGTTTGTCTTTCAACCTGCAGCCACTTCCATTAATTTGAAAGAGAAAATCAAAAGGCTTCTCAACTGTGAATGATTCCCATGTTTATGTTGAGAAAAGTGTAAATACAAGAAAAGAACCAACCCGTGCCAATAGTTTTGGATTCACAGTAATTGCATACCTTTTATTTAAAAATCCTCCCTAGCAGTATGTGCCTGTTACCTAAAGCGATGGAGCAGGCCCCAGTTTTATGTCTGTTTCTAAACCTGGGCCTACAGTACAAGACATAGCACATACTGTGGCCTCTGCTCTGTCACTTTGCCATGCGATTCTAATGTAGTTTTACTTGAATAACATAAAATAACATATATAATGTTATTTATGTTATTTTCCACGTGAAGAACTCCTGTAAACCTTGCCGTTTTGAAACTCAGTGAGGCAGGCGTCTTAGACAAGCTGAAAAACAAATGGTGGTACGATAAAGGTGAATGTGGACCCAAGGACTCCGGAAGCAAGGTTAGTCGCTGCAGTTCGGGGCCTCCTCTTGTGTTCACAAAGCAGTAGAGGGCGAGCAATTATCAACAGTATGTGGAAACAGTAAAAGCATTTCTCTATACACCCAGCCACGGCCTTCAATTTAAAGCTAATGTTACACATTTTAGCCACAGGGATTGTCTTTTCAGGAAATTGTAAACTGAACCCCCCAATATAAACTCTTCTGAGTAAACTTAAATTAAGTGCAAAAAATATAAAATAAAATTATTTATATTCTTCTCAAACGTACGTACCACAAATAAAAGTATTGTGTTTTATGGTTGGGTCTTTTGTTTATTTGTTTTGGAGGCAAAGACCATGAAATCTATTATTTCAAGAACTGATGTGTTCACAAATCTGGAAATAAGAAACTGATCAGTAGAAAAATGATTTTAAATTGAATAAATGTGTATTCAATCTTGTCACTATATTGTCAAGCATTCCGGAAGTTTGAAGACACATTAGTGTATTTTATGCTGACATTTAAACAGAGCGAGCCTTTCAATTCTATTCTTCCAATCAAAATTATTTCAATAAATAAAGCAATATGCTTGTGAATAATATCCTCAAGTTCTAAAATCTCTGATTCATGAATTGGCTGCCTGATTCTGTTGAGTGCCAATGCGCCATAGTATTAAAAAGTGTTCTATTTTTATTCTAAAGCAAAAATAGATAACAAGTTCATTTATCAGTGAATCTAAATATTTTCACTAGTTAATAAAACAAACAATGCTTGAAAACCTTGAGGATCCTTGGTATCCTCTTTTGTTTTTATTTTTTCCCATTATCTTCTTCTGGAAAGAAAAAAGGAATTGGAATTCTAAATAAGACACTAGGCAAGTGACTGTTTTAAATAGGAGTGTCTCGAATATTTTAAGTGACTGTTTTAAATAGAAGCGTCTCATTTAGTCTAAAGAAGAGACAATGTTAGTTAATTGATTTTTTTTCAAAGTTTATAACTTCATTTTAATCACTTCTGTTCAAGTTTGAATCAGAGGGGACTGAAACAAGCTCTGCACAGATAATAAAATAGTCATCTCAAATCCTTAGGTCAAGTAGAAGCATACTTTTTTTTTCCTTAAAAATTGAAGTTAACTGAAGTTTTTTGGCCCAGCTAATTGATGTCATGGCTAGGTGGATAGAGTGCATAGTGCATCCCTCAAATACTCTCCTAATAAAACTATTTAAGCGCCTGAGTCACATTTTCTACAAAACATACTGCTGAGAAGATGACGGCCACAGGGCAGTCTTCAGGTATGCCACCCAAAATACTTTTTCAAATAATGTTATATCAAAAACATGTTTATGATTGGGGGGAGGGGGAATCCAAATTCCAACTACAATTTACTATTTTTTAATCACGTATTTGGCTGTTTCTGAGCTTATTGTGATACGTGTACTTAAGATTTGAAGGAAAATATGTCTCAAATATTAACTGATGAATTATTTTAGAGCAGGAATGGAATTGTATTTCTAAATATATATTTTTTAAGGCTATAATTTTGGCAATGCATAAATAATTTCTCAAATGACCAGGATAACTTTAATGTTCCAAAGTTTTTTAACTATTAAAAATTTAATTTATTACATATTTTTAAAGTTACTTTTTGAAAGTCATTTAATGGGATGCACGTATATTTATTCCTAAATAGCACATAACAGGTAAAAGTGATATTTTTAAAAAGATTTTCCATAAAGATGCAACTGAAAGAACAAAAAATATGTACTCTATTTGCATGCATCTTCAAATGTAATAACAGTAAAGAAAATGTGAAACTACTAGCTTAAAGACTATTAGTTCCTAGTAGGTAAAGTGATGTTAGATTTGTTCAGAAGATATTTCAAAAATTAAAAGTATGCTTTAATAGAAGCAAAGCCAAATGAGATCCCCTTCCTATATAATTGTATTTTAAAATAGTGATTTTCAAACTTAACAATAATAAGCCCACTTCTGCCACCCTATACAAATATATGAATTCCTGTAAATGGCTAAATATAGTGGTTTGCCTTGCATATTCAATAATGATAAAGTGTTATAGATTTGACTGAATGCCATGTATTGGTAAACACTCTAATTTCAATTCTATCTTTGAGCTTTTTGTTGAAATCCATAAACCAACATTAGTGATTTATACATGTAAATAATTCCGAGTTAAACTACGCATTAGTTTTAAATGGCTGTCTAGTTTATGTGTTCTCTTACTGTTTGGATGTGACATTTCCACAGTTAACTGAAGTGTCTTTATCCCTTTCCAGGACAAGACGAGTGCCTTGAGCCTAAGCAACGTAGCAGGCGTCTTCTACATTCTGGTTGGCGGCTTGGGCTTGGCAATGCTGGTGGCTTTGGTAGAGTTCTGTTACAAGTCCAGGGCAGAAGCGAAGAGAATGAAGGTGGCAAAGAGTGCACAGACTTTTAACCCAACTTCCTCGCAGAGTACCCAGAATTTAGCAACCTATAGAGAAGGTTACAACGTATATGGAACCGAAAGTATTAAAATTTAGGGGTAGGACTTAGGGCCTACTACAGTGAGTGGGTGATGCATCCTGTAAACTCAGTGTTGTGACCTGTCTGTCCAGTGGTGGTATTGCTTGCTTCTAATTAGAGCTTTATATATTTTTTAAAACTTCAGTGCAAAGTGGTTTGGTTTTCTTTGGCTGCAGACGTACTGTTTGAAACTCTATGTTGCCAATAGATATCTGCATTGCAAGGGTCAGAAAGACAAAAACAAATCTCCAGAATTACCTCATGAAACAATTTAAACTTGAAATTTGGGAGAAATTGGGAATTAGACTTGGATCTCCTTTCACACAGCCTAGGTTTGTCTTCTCTGTCACAATCCAATCTTAGGAAAACCCAAAATGAAAGCCCACTGCCATTGAGTTGGTTCTGACTCAGAGTGACCTTGTATAGGATTTCCAAGACCTACAGGAGCAGACAGCTTCATCTTTCTCCCTACTAGTGGCTGGTGAATTTGAACCTCCAACCTCACAGTTAGCAGTCCAATGCCTAATCCACAGCACAACTAAGCTTCTAAATCTTAGGATAAATTCTAACAAAATAAGCACAAAACTTGTTTCAAGTGATCAAAGCCTAGACAGATGCTTATTTTTGATAAGGTCATACATATTATTTTCTGAAAAGCAACAGGTATAAAAGCACCAAGGAAATGTCATTGTTAAATGAATTTTAGTTCCTGTGGCATAGTAGAATAAGCACTGGACTGCTAATCACAAAGTTAGCAGTTCAAACCTACCAGCCATACCTTGGAAATCCTACATAGGGTTGCTATGAGTCAACTTGATGGCACTTAACAACAATAATTTGTATGGAAGCCCTGGTGGTGTGGTGGATAAACAGCTCAGGTGCTAACTGCAATGTCCATGGTTCAAACCCACCAGTCACTCAGTGGAGGAAAATGTGGCAGTCTGCTTCTATAAGACTTACAGTTTTGAAAACCCTATGGGAAAATTCTATTCTGTCCTATAAGGTGGCAATAAGTTGGTATCAATGCAACAGCAACATTTTCTTGTTGTTTTTTATGAGCCAGAATCAATTCAACTCCACGGCAGTGGGATTTTTTTTGTTTTTCATTCGATTTGTTTTACAATAGCCCTCATTCTATAGTTTTAAAGAATAAACCTCTACCATTTGTTAATCTGGAGTTCTGGTGTGGCACTGCAGATTAATGATCTAGACTGGTTTGAATTGCAATGTTTGCAGTTCAAGCTCACCAGCAGCTCCTTGGAAACCCTATCCTGGGTCACTATGAGTCGAAACTGATTTAATGGCACTTTAACAGGATTTGTTAATCTAGAGTCCTGGTGTGGTGATATAGAATATGCACTGGACTTCTAACCACAGGTGGGTAATTCAAACCCACCAGTCGCTCGTTGAAACCCTGTACAGGGTCGCTATGAGTCAGAACTGACTCGACAGGATTTAGCAACAATAACATTTTTTAATCCGACAGTAGTCCTTGAGCCAGATCCTTAGACAGGGGTTATCATGAAAACACAGACTATAAATCACATTTATTAGATGAAATTCTACTTTTATGTTCACAATATCACTAAAGTGAATAGGCATTTAGGCAGTACAGTAATTTCTCCACCAAAGACTTCACTCATATATATCTTCTACAAGAGACAACCAGTAAAAGATAAAAATTATAGTGTTGTGAGCTTTATTTTTCACATTTCAATTGCTTTAAAGCAAGCCACAAAAGCCTTACTTACATTTTCTCCTTGTGTCACACACACACAAAAATCAAAACCTGTAAGTATTAAGTAAAATATAGGAGATTGAGGTCATTTTTTTTTAAAGACTAAAATGCTCACTACTTTTTTTCCTCTAATGATAATGGAAACACTTATCAAAATAAGATTTGAGAACATTTGTTGTTACTCTTCTTAAAAAAAAAAAAATTTTTTTTTCTAAAATAATACAAAATAGCCAACTGAATAGGATGCTTATTCTGATGACAATGCCTTTGAACCCACAAGAGACTTTGAGTACTTAATAATACTCCAGAGTCAAAAGCCCAATATAATCGTTAATAGGAACAATATCTGAGGTTATGCTAGGTAAGCGTGCAGACTTTGGTATATATTTATAAACATATAAAAGTTACTAAAATGCATGCTAGTTTCTTAAAAGCAAAAAATCAAAAGTAGCCCCCTTTTTTGCCGAAATCTAATTTTTTTTATCAATAAACTAGATATCAGTAACTTAATACACATGTACATAAATAATCTCAAAGTGGTACTTTCTCAATTTAGGGAAAATTATGAAGTAATCCCTCAATTCACTCCAATCAAAATATTTTGGGCATCTCTTCTAATAGTGATCTAACAAAATGAGACACTATCAAAGTCTCTTTACTATTATGGGAATTCTTTCATTAGGAGCCCTGGTAGAATAGGGGGTTACAAGTTGGGGTGCTAACCTCAGGTCAGAAGTTCAAATCTGCCATCTGCCCTATGGGAGAAAGATGAGGCTTTCTGCTCCTGTAAAGAAAGGATTCTGACCCAAAGTAGCCATCTAAAATGCTTTAAAAATAGGATTACACTAAATTATCCAACTAGTATACAGGGTCATTAGGAGTCGGAATCAATTTGAGGGCCCTTAGCAACAATAATCCAACCAGTATGAGTACAGTATGAAGTGCCATCGAGTCAGTTTTGATGCCTACCTACCTTGTATAGGGTTTCCAAGGAGTGACTGGTGAGTTTTAACTGCCAATCTTGAGCACCTACAGTGTTACACCAGGACTCCATTGTTAACTATACATTACCAAAGCCTAGCCTATATTTTCTAAATATAGTGGGGTTTTTTGCTAGATTTTCTTGACATTAATAATGCTGCTTTGCTAATGATTCTTATATACACATACCCCAAACAGGTGCACTCAAATATTAGATAGGAAAATACTCAGCTCTAGTAAAGAACCTCCAATAGTCTCACTTTGAAGAGCGAGACTATAGCAGTCTTGTCCACATCTTAGTTCATGGTGAGGTTCTGCCATATGAGTAATTGAATGGAATTCTAAATTCCTTATTAGTATGGTAATATCCGAAGTGAAACAACAAGTGGCATTGAAGGATAAGTACTGAACCGATGTGACAGCATCGAAAAACAACACCATGGTACTTCTCAGCTTCTATTCAATATAAAACAGTGAGCATTATATCCATGAATACTTTTTTTTAATGTATAAATTACATGCACTAAAATTCACCCTTTTTAGTATGCAGTTCTGCATCCTTTATTTACAATTCTATTCCTTAAGTTTCTTTTGCAAGGAAGGAAAATATATCAGAATATAGACATTCATTCATTTAACAAATGCTTATTACTGAGTGCTTATTATATGCCAAATAAAAGTCCAAAGAACTTTGATTTCAAGAGACTAACAGAAGATAGCCAAGTAGGAATAATGCTTTTCCATAAAATCTTCATTATATTTGCCAACATCACTTAATGTAAAACTGTTTATCATAATGATTCCTGAATATGAAGATAAATGTTAATTTTTGAAACTATTCAGTAAACCAAATATATGAGATGGACCTTGTATTTTATTGTGCATATGTCATTAGCAATTTAACGTCAACTTTCTTAATTTATCAGGGCAACTAATCTATAAACTATTCCACTCTGACATTCTTTCATTCAATTGATTTAATTATTTAATATATAATTATTCTAAATCTACATTCCAGAACAGAATAAATAAAGGAATAGAATTTCCTAAAGAGTAAGATAAACTTTCATCACAATAGGAAATTAAAATACAGGGGAATTATGATCCAAACCATACAGATTTAGGAAATGTCTCATTTATCTTATATTCCTCTTGAGCTAGTATTAGAATTCAGCTACTAGAAGAAAGCTAAAAGCAACAAGTGGATACTAATTAGATTCGCTAGCGTAGTGGTTATGAATCGGGCTGCGAACCACAAGATCAGCAGTTCGAAACTACCAGCTGCTCTGCGGGAGAAAGATGAGGCTTTCTGCTCCTGTAAAGATTTACAGCCTCGGAAACCCTGTTCAGGGTTGCTATGGGTCAGAACTGACTCGACAGCACTTAACAACAACAACAACAACGTCAATGCCTGTTTGTCCTCTTAGTAATACCAGTGTCTGCTACCTAACACTGGACTGCTATACACACAGTCGGCAGTTCAAACCCACCATCTGTTCCTCGGACACCCTACACAGGGTCACTATGAGTTGGAACCAACTCAGATGCACTTAATAACAATAACAACAAGCAGCACATAGCAGAGAACAGAAATTTGATAAGATACCTGAACCCTATAGCCTCTGTGTAGGATGTTCTTCCTTGCTGAGGTATTAAAAGATGTCCATTTACAGTCTCAGACACCCTATGCAGGGTTGCTATGAGTCGGAACAACTCCACCTTTCAGTGTAGCCACGTTTAAGCACATTTGTTAGAATATGAATCTTAGCTTCTAAGGCAGGCATTGAGTGAGCTATATGTAACTAACTGTGCTGTTCTGGGTCACGTCTATAACCGGTGTGAATGAATGAAAGTGTCTGTGGCTAGGTCTTTGTTATGACAATTTGAAGGTCAGTTGTGAATTGTCTATATAGTTTACTTAGACAATTCATCACAATGTTAAGAGTATAATCCTTACATTACAAAGACATTTCTTAAGCAGAAGAAAAAAATTTAAATAAAGAATGTTATTCAAACATCAAGGAGCTCTTCAGCTTGACTGTTGTTGTTAAGTGCCATCTAGGATGCTGTAATTTCACATTGCAGCGTACAGCAGGTTTGCTCTGCCCAGATCGGCTAAACAAAACCTAGCTTTATGGTTTTAGAATTAGTTCCTAAATAGATAGGACCCCAACTCTAGACTAATTCGTTCGTCAGTGTAGCTAAGCTTCCCTTTCCCCCTTATTAGCAATTTTTATGTAACCAAAATAATACGGGGAAAAATGCAGATGTCTAACTATTGATATTTTGGTGTTTGTTGTATCATATTTGTGGAAGAAACAGAAATATTATAACACTCCACATTATGTTTGTTCCTTTCCATGCAACCCAGCTGACCTTTTCTGAAGCCATAAGAAACAAAGCCAGATTATCCATCACTGGGAGTGTGGGAGAAAACGGCCGCGTCTTGACGCCTGACTGCCCAAAGGCTGTACACACTGGAACTGCAATTAGACAAAGTTCAGGATTGGCTGTCATTGCATCGGACCTACCATAAAAACCAAAAAAATAATTGAGTGCCTTAATTAAACTGTTGGTGACTGATGGAAACGCAGCCCCGAGGGACACACCGAGCGCGCATCTTTGTGAAACCAATCTTTTGGCTGAGAGCAGAAAGTACGTCCTACTGCGCCGGACATCAGCAGCAGCAACATGTGCATGAGCTCAGCTCGGAAACCCAAACTCAGATTTTATATCAGGAGAATTCACAATTTAGGTTTTTTCGGGGAATGGGGCGGGGGGGGTGGGGAGGCTGGGATGGGTATATTAACAGCAACAAATTTCACTCGAGTGAACTTAAAAACTAATCAGACTTGCGAGTTAGCGCATTAAACTGTGAAGTTCTTGCTCAGAAAGGCCTTTGCCGTCCCGCAAGGGGTAAAATAGTAATAGAACTCAATGAACCTGCTAACCTGTATCTGCAGAACACCCATATATTCAATGGAAGGATATCCAACAGAGAAAACAAGTCACTAAACTGTGATAAGAAAATAATAAACATGTAAATCCTGTGAAAAAAAAATTTTAAGAAAGTATTTACACTTACTTTGGAGAAAACAAATACTGAAACATGCTTGCTTTTTAACTGACGTAAATTCAGTAGAGGACAACACAATTCTTTTTTCTAACCATCTTAGGGAACAATACATTGCAATAATTGATATAAATGCCATCACTGTAATAAACTTTACAAGACTTTTTTTTAATATATATATATAAAAGTTGTTGGTCATCCTCTTGTTTGCTGTAACCTTCACTTTGTTACATGAGTCCGTGTCCACACATTGCATTTGTCTCACTCCCAGGAACAAAAACAAAAAGAAGAAAATGTTAACCTAAAATCATCAGTCTGCAATGTAGAAAGTCAAAAGAGACTACGGGTCACTCATGTTATCAATATTATTTATAATCTTGTTCTGTGTACAAAATTGTGGTTTTTGTACCCACCAAAAAGAATAAAAACAACAGACGTTCTTACACTATCTATAGAGCTTAAAATTTTTTTCTTATCATTATGAAAGTTATTTGAGAAATTATGGAACTATAAGCAGGTTTGCTGGTAAAAGACGTGGGCCATGTTGAAAAATACAGCTAGTCATTATTTTTGCATACTAAACTACTCTTCTTTTGTAGACCTTTGTCTTGTTAGCAGGTTAAATGATCAGATGGAGTCTTTGATTTGGGAAATCAGTCATTATCTTAACAGTATCATACCCTGTAATTGTGTATTGAAATTTTACTTGACTGTATTTTGCTGCATAAAATTATATGTCTCTTGGGCTTCTCCCTCTAGTCCTAATTCATTTGAAGGCATTAAGAATAGTTTTGGGTAGACACCAAATGAAGAATTAGTCTTTGTTCTCAAATGGAAAGTGTGGGGAAAAATTATACCAATGTTTATTTATAATAAATACCTTATGTTATGTATGGTCTAAATTTGCATGGGTCAAAGGAAGGTCTGGTTCCTTTGAAATAGTAAGTGCTATAATAGTAAAATAAATAAATAAATAAATTACCCACAGTACTTAGGGATCTTGATAGAAAGCACAAGGTAGAATGATTGTGGAAGTCTGGCCTTGAAGGATGAATTGAGTTTTAGCAGGTGTCCCAGGGTCATAGCAACCCTGCATGTCAATGGCTTACATAAGGAATGCATACAACTGGATGGGCAGGTGAAAGCATAAGTTAATATCAAGGGATATAAAGTAAGAAAAATTGAAAGACTTGTCTCTTAGACTCAATTCTTGATATCTGCACCTCACCCATTGAATCTTTGTGCTGCAGTAAGAGTGATCTTAAAAAGTAAAAATCTGATAATCCACACAAACAAGTCCCTCAGGGAAACTCCCAGCTCTTGAACTGAGCATATGAGACCCTTCATGAGCTGGCCCTGTGTATCTCTTACAGAACATCTCTTACCTGTCCCCAACACCTCCACCAAGTGAACCTCAGAAGCAGCACATGAGACACTGCATATACTATTTCCTCAGTCTGTAACAGTCTATCTCCTCTCTACCTGATTAACTTGTATTCATCCTTCAGTACTCAAATCAACTTTGACTTGCCCTAGGAAGATTTCTGTGACTATCCATCATCCCCTGCCTATGAGACTGACTTAGGTGCCCTTCTTAATGTCTTTTCCCATCATAGCACTTACCATACTGCATCGTAATTGCCTGTGTACTTGTTTGTATAATTACTAGACTGTAAGCTCCTTGAGGGCAGGGATTGTGTCTGTTTTGTTCACAGTTGTATCCCCAGCACCCAGCACAGTGCCTGGCATATTGTAGGTGCTTAATAAATATTTGTTGAATGAACAGATGAATGGAATGGAATTAATTTAATCAAGTGGAAGTAGAGAGATAACATCTTTCCTCCTTTACATTCCCTAGAGTCCTAGTATAACACTGTAGGATAAACACTGGACTGTAAACCACAAGGTCGGCATTTCAAACCTAACAGTCACTCCTCAGAAACCCCATAATGGTTCACTAGGAGTTAGAACCAACTCAATGGCACTTATCAGCAACAAGAGAGTGTATATTACATATATTGTTGGGTGCTGTCAAGTCGATTCTGATTTATAGCAACCCCATGTGACAGAGTAGGACTACCCTATAGGGTTTTCTTTGTTGTGATCTTTATGGAATCAGATCACCAAATCTTTCTTCCATGGAACCACTGAATGGGTTTGAATGGTCAACCTTTTAGTTAGCATCCAAGCACTTAAGCCTTACACTCCTTGGTCTACTGATCCCAAGTAGAGTCTAAAATTTGGCTGATTTCATGCTATTGTACACCTCACTAGAAAGAAAAAAAAACCATGAATGTTCTGACTAGATGAAAAAGTCTATGTAACTGGATTTCACTGTAGATTAATTGGAGCTATCGTGGCACTGTCGAATAAACCTTAGACTGCTAATTGCAAGGTCGATGGTTCAAACCCACCAGCAGCTCCATACAGACAGATGAGGCTGTCTGCTCCTGTAAAGATCTGCTGTCTTAGAAACACTGCATAGGGTTGGTATGAGTCAGAATTGACTCAAAAGCAGTGGGTTTGGGTTTTGTTTTGCTTTAACTAGAGAAATTGTCATTTGTCATAACTAAATAACCTAAAACAGGTTTTTGTTTGTTTTCAGTTGTTTTAAAACTTATGTTTCATTTAAGCTTCAGAGTAGAAAAGCTTAAGGAAAAATAAAAACAAACAAACACAAACCACTGCTATTGAGCCCATTCCAATTCATAGCAACTGTGTATCATTGTTGTTGTTGTTAGTGTCGTAGAGTCAGTTCTGAACCATAGCAACCCTGTATAGGGCTTCCAAGGAGCAGCAGGTGAGCTTGAACTGCCAACCTTGCAGTTCAAACGATTTTGCAGTCCAGCGTAGTAACCCACAGCACCACACCATGACTCCTAGTAAGCATATATAGGGTCTCTGAAACTATGAATCTTTATGGGAGCAGATAGTCTCATCTTTGTTCTGCAGAGTAACTGGTAACTTTGAACCGATAACCTTCCAGTTAGCAGTCTAACATTTATCCCGCAGCATCATCAAGATTGTTGTTGTTAGGTGTCATCGAGTCGGTACCGACCCATAGCAACTGAGGAGTTATATTTCTTACAGTAAAGAATAATTCTGTCAAAACCAAAATTTTTAATGTGACATTAGCAAAAAAGGGGTAACTTGCTGGATTAAACTCTGAAGAAACACTATAAACCTAGGATATGTGATTTTAAACCATTTAAGTTTTAAGTAAGTTTAATATATTTTAGCTAAAACATGTGGTTCCACAAAGTGAAGAATGCTGTTACTAAACAAGCAAGATAACCATCCAGTGCAGAATGTACCCCTGTGCATATCAAATACAGCCAACTGTGAAGTGACATTGGCAAGCTTACCTTACACAGTGACCACTTATGAATAATATGAAAAATGTTCAGGGAGACCATTTTGCTACACTTGATTCAATATCTACTTATTGTAAATGCTAGTCCCCTTGTTACTGCCTTTGCTTCAGGCTGCATCTTAGTCACATGCTTGCTGGTAGCCCCACTAGTAGTAGATTATAACTCATCCCAATTCCCTAGCACATAGTAGGTGGTCAATATGTATTTGTCAATATATAAAACACAACTTGGTACATTAAATTAGTACCAATGAAAAATTGCTCAATTAGTTTGTCCAGCATGTATGTTCTATATATCCCCATTGGCAACAAGAAGGAAGTGGTCACAGGAATAAGAACTAAATGAAAAGTGATATCTAGGAAAGTTTGTGGAAAGAAAACAAACACTGAAATTGTGCAAATTCATCTGACTTATACTTGATGTAATGCTGCATGAAAGGTGTGACTTTTCATATCTGCACATCCATAAATGGGTTTTAATTTTACATAGTTCAGCACACTAGAATACTTACCATTTGTAAAACCAAACATAAATGTAATGTTGTTGCTAAGTGCTGTGAAGTCAGTTCCGACCCATAGTGACCCCCGCATAGGGTTTCCGAGGAGCAGCTGATGAGCTTGAAGCACCGACCTTGTGGTTCAAACCAACTTTGCAGTCCAGCACATTAACCCACAGTGCCACACCAGGATGTCATAAATGTAATAGACTACAAGCAGGGTGACCTATTATCAAGCAATCATAATAACAGTGAGAACTGATGAATTCCTGAATTTATTCAACAATAGTGTGGATGAAGAGCATGGAGCAAAGGAGATGTTGAAGATATGTTGTTGTTGTTATTGTTGAAGTACCCATGAGTCACTTCTGACTTTAAGCAACCCTGTATAGGGTTTCCAAGAAGTGGTTGGTGGGTGTGAACCACTGACCTTTTAGTTAGCAGTCCAGTATTTATCTTACAGTACCACACCAATGTCAATGTTATAGACGGTATATTAATGTATTGTCTAAATAGCTAGCACCAGTAGTTTTTTTTTTGAAAAGACAGCTATTCTTCTTTAAGAAAGAATGTTGATAAATTATGAAGAACAAGACATGTAACTTGAAAGTTACATATTATATATCAATGAGACCAAATTGTTTTCTATGAAATAAGAAAAATCGGTGAGGCAATCAAGGAGTAAATTCTAAGTTCCATGTTTGGGTGGATGTCAGGCTAGAAATAGCTCTAGTAATACAACTCTCTTTGCTCAGAAATTTGCAGAAATCCATTTGGATTTATTCTTCCACATGTCAAAAATTAAAGGTTTCCTCAATTTTATCTGTAAACAAAGAAATTGAAATATCAATCAGACCTGCACATGAACTAATGATATTTAGCTTGAATATCACTTGAAACACTGAAGCTCAAGCCACTCAGCCTACATCTCATTATTGTCCATCAGTAATCTCTCTTCTGTTTTGTACCAAATTCTACTTCCATTATTCATCTGTACTCATCATCCTTCCCATTCATCTTCCCACTGCTTCTCTCTCTCCCTAATCTATTCTCCATGTTATCGTCAAAGTAAGGAAACATCTAATACTGTCAACATCTTTTCACCTCCTAATAATATCACTCCATGTACCATGAAGCTAAAGGAAAATAAATGACATTCTTTGCAATTTTGACTCTGTTTCCAGGCATAAAACAGACTCATTCTTGAGGTATATGTTATTTAATTATACTATCAAAATGTATGCTCTACTGCCTCCTAGTCCATTTTGCCTGCTGACTTCTTTGTCATTGCCTCACATTCATCAACAACTTTGGTGTTTGGCTTGTTCTCCTTGTGCATTTCAAGCACAAGCATCATCCTGAGCAACTTCAAAGTCAATGTAGATGCTTCGAACACTCCTAGTCCTACAGTTTCTTAATGATTTCCATTTTATTCAAGTCACTCCATCAATGGACACTCAGTACACCTTAGAGATGTCTACCATATTATCTCCCTCCAGATGATGACCCACTTCTCTCTTCCTTTTCACACCCTATTCATTGAAATAAGGAACTTTGAACCCCTTTCTTAGCCCATCCATTTGAGTCCATCATCTCACCAAAATGCTCTTCCCAAGGTCAACAATAAACATCTTGTTACCTTATTGAATAAATGGTTTCAATATGAAACGAAATCAATTGCTCTCTTTATGTATTGGTACTGAAATACTATTGTTTTCCCCTGTCTTCTGTTTATTTCTTTTCTATTTTATACTCTCCTATTCCTCCAACTTAAATGTAGACATTTCCCAGGGTTGTATTCTTTGTCTCCTTCTCTTCTCACAAAACATATTCCACACAGTTGACCTCAACATCATCAGAGTTTCTACAATAGTCTATACATTATCAACTCAGAAATGGTTATCTTCCACTCAGGATACACATCTAATTGTCTACTGGATATCTCATTCTGACCTCTTAATCACAACATATCCAAACTCTTCATCTTTCCCTCTACATCTGTACCTCCTCTTGTAGTCCCAGTCCCAGTGAGTGGTACTACCATTCATCTCATCTCACAACTCAGAAAACTGAGATCCATTCAAGAACCCTTTTTCTTTTCCATTCTTCCATTCAATCAGTATCTTAAATTCCTTCCATACCTTCACCAGGAGTTCTGGTATGGTACTGTAAGATAAATACTGGTCTGCTATCTGCAGGGTCAGTGGTTCAGAATCACTAAGCACTCCTTGGAAACCCTATACAGGGTTGCTATGAGTCAAAACTGACTCAAGGACACTTAACAACTACAACAACAACATACCTTCAACATCTCCTTACTTTGCTCCATGCTCTTCATCCACACTATTGCTGAATAAATTCAGGGATTCATCCATTCTCACTGTTGTTATTCTAATGGTCTGTTTGTCTCCCACTGGTTATCTCATCCTCAACCAAACCCACTACCATCAAGTCAATTCTGGTTCATAATGACCATACGTAGGAGCAAACAACCTCATCTTTCTCCTGTGGAGCAGCTCTTAGTAGGTGCCATACTAACTCGGAGCGACCCTATGCACAACAGAACAAAACACTGTCCAGTCGTGGACCAACCACACAATTGTTGCTATGCTTGAGCCCATTGCTGCTGCCACTGTGCCAATACATTTCATTGGGGTCCTCCTCTTTTTTCTCTGACCCTCCACCTTGACATGATATCTTTCTCCAGGAACTGGTCCCTCTTGACAGTATGTCTGAATATGAGAGATGAAGTCTGGCCATCTGGCTTCAAAGGAGCACTCTGGCTGTATTTCTTCCAACACAGATCTGTTTGTTCTTTTGGCAGTCCATGGCACTTTCAATATTCTCCTCCAACACCATAACTCAAATGTATCAATTCTTCTACGGTATTCCGTATTCACTGTCCAGCTTTCG